ACAACTTTCATGTTTTATGTTTTTCCAAATTCCAAACGGAACAAGGCGAAAAACCGCGATTTTGCCGCGATCGCGGCAGAACCGCGGCAGAACCTCGGTGGAAGGCAGTTTCTGAAGAATGAAGAATCCGCGAGGGCGTTTGGCCGCGGTTTCCACCGCGATCGCGGTGAAACCGCGGTGGGAAGCGTAAATTTCAGGGGCTAAAGTGTAAAACATGGGATTTTAAGTCCTAAATCCTATATAAAACAAAGGAGGCCGGCCAAGAACAAGAGGGGACATATTTTGGACACAAATTAGACCTAAGGAGGCGGAGAGACACTACTTCAGGGTTAGACAACACCCTTGGAGGCAAGAACACATTGGGAGCAAGGCGGAGAATTCTTCTACAAGTTTTCCCTTCCTCTTCCTATTTTTCATTGTTGGTTATGACTTTTAGTATTGTAGTTTTACATACTGTTATGAATAGCTAATTTGTTATCTAGAGTTTTGATAGAACCTTTTGTAGGATAAATTCTTGTTATGTTTTTATATAATTGAGTCATAGCCTTTTCTCTATTTGTTCAACTACGTTTATATTGTGGTTGATTGAAGAGCTCTCAATTAGCTGTGCCTATTTAGTGTGCATAACTTGGAAAAGAGTGCATATTTAGGGTATTGTTGAACAACACCACTCCTAGATTATTAGAGGAATCTATAATTGCGGGTTTAAAGGCGGGATTAGGAAATAACGAAGCCTTGGGTGCAATTTAAATTGAATTGTGTGAAATTAAGCAAGCTAGTGTATCTCGGGAGAGTGCGTCTAGTAAATTATCGTAATTACTCGGGAGAGATTTACGGTAATAAGAGTGCTCATGATCGGTAGAGAATACTTAGGCGAAATTATAGAAGACATAGCGGGAAGGATTCCGACAACTGGGGAAATCATAACTCTAGACCTCCTTAATCTTTTCTCTAACCCTCAGTATCGTTAGTTGTTAATTTACTATTTTAATTTGTTAGTTAAGTAGTTAAACACAAGAATCTTAATATCTATAGGTTAGGAATTGTTCAAGCTTGTCTTCTTGGTGATAGTGAACAGCTGTAGCTAAACCTTAGTTCTCTGTGGGATTCGACTCCGGACTTGTAAACCGGATTATATTTGCAACGACCGCATTGTCCTTTTTATAAGGCATAGTTAGGCGTGATCAATTTGCACTCCAATCTTATACACCATCTTCAAAAGATCGTTGGTAGATATTTGATAAACAATCTCAGCCATATTAACTTCAACAAATTTGTTTCACCTTGAAATCATCATCCCTGATAGATGTATTGTCTTCATATGATCTTGTTGGAATCATCATTTCAATATCTTCACATAGGGGTGAAAACTCTTGCTATCATATTATCATGCTTATAGTTATAGCAAGATGCATATGTGCACAAATTGCATTTATGATAGTGTACTTCATGACCATGAATTCTATATGCTTTAAGCAATTTAAATATTTAGGGATTGTTAAGTTATATAAGCCATATAATAGACTTTAGATGCATATCAAGTTTTCATGTCATGCTAGACATATAAGATATCGAAAACTGATTGCACATACCATTGACTTATACTTTCAAGTGTTTGAACTACATGTTCAAAACTACATGGCTTTCATATGAAACCAATTCTATTTGAATTGTTTCTTCAGACTTAAGATCCTCATATATATATTTAGCGCTATCATAGATGTCGTCCACAAATATTTTATATCAGTTCCAATATTTTTTGATAAAGACATAACATAAAGATCTCTTCATTCATATTTTCAGGTACCTGAATCTCTCTTGAGATTTTATGAAGTGTTATGTCATATGATCTTCTAGATCACTTGCCTCCTTTATTATGATCATTTTGATCATTTGCTCATCTTCGTTATCAAGAAGTTTATTTGAAATCGATTTGTCTATATGCTTTAAGCGTACTGTAGACTTTGTCCTTCTAGGACTTATTCTAATAGGAGCATTTGCAATGAGAATATAGTTACTTTCTTTGGGTCAACAAATGCGTCTGGCATGCTTTGCAATATATTGCAAATGAATTATCCTTTTATGAACTTCAAGATCATATTATTTTATTCGGGGATCTAGATGTATAAATGATAATTCATTCCATGTAACTTTTTCTCAACTATTGTATCTTGTCTCCCCTCATGTTAGAAAAACTAACTTGTTTCCTCAACTTTGAGAACCCATCTTTGTGCGTTATGGTGTTAATCAAAATATATACCGCACATCAATAATAATGAGATAGAATTATTGGTTCCTGACCCTGAACCACTTGTGAGGGGAGAATGTAATATACTTTCGTATATAACCTATATCAAACTGATATAGATAACTTTGTTCTCATAAGCAATAGTTTAGCTATTAAGTTGAGGCACTCAATAAATTATTTTGCTAAACCAACTGTGATGTAAACCTACTTATCAAGATGAACTTCTTGAATAGAAAATCTGGAAATTATGCTCGAAATTAAATTATTGAGCAAGTTACCTCACACACACCGGTCAGGTTGCGGGTTAATAATAATTGCACATGTAACCATCTCATAGATGCATCTTATGTGGTATACATGGCGGGTGAATGGGCCCATATTCACCTTTGATATTTCCAGCATTCATGGGGTTCAATCCCAATTTTAGTTGGTCAATTCATTAATGAGAACACGCATTATAAGAGAATTCGTAAAGAACTTTCTAGTTCTTTAATATTTACCCATGTGAATTCTCGTTTGTTTTCGCACATCATGCTTAAATTAATATGTCTAAACCAATTATGCCAACTGAATAAATTATCAATATTGATAAACTACGGATTTACACCATGACGTGTGCAATTATCAATAAACTCCAAATTTATTATGATATGGGTTTTTATATCAATAAATATCCACTTCATTGTGGTATTCTTTTGTTTATGTAGTACAAATTGGAGAATAAAGCGGGTAGATTTTCACATACATATTATCCCGCTACAAGTTGTAGTAATTGAAGATATCAAATCTTTCCTTTATTTATAGTCTCAATATAATCAACCGCTTTCGCGTATACTTTGAAAACTGAATAAGTTTCTTTGAGACTTACTACAACACAATACATTATTGGTAATTAATTGTGTTTCTCCAAAATAGTATAATTGGCTCTTGCAGAGTTCTCAATTAATTTTGTAGTACCACATATTCATCAACACCTATATGGTGAATATCTCTTTTAAAGAGAAAGTTATATCATTATGGTTTTGGTCAAAATTATATGCAAGATCTGTTTCTTGCATTACCTTGTCTTTTAACAATCACAATGCCAAAATATTTTGGCGTACAATAGGTACGTGACCAATGACCATTCATGCCATAATAATGACATTATTTTCTTATATCATCTCAAACCTCCTTTTAGAGGTGAGTGCGGTATATTCACTACCACTAGCACGTTCATATTCTTTGAAGAATGAATATGTATTCATAAATCAGATGTTGTCACATTCACATCATGAATGGACCATAGTCATGTGCTTTACGAATTCTTATGTCAAATTGATGACAAACATTAACTTCATAGAGTGAAGGCTTATTTTGAGAATCCTTATTATTCTCATTACCACGATAATGACGATTATAATTTCGTCTATTACCACATCCACATCCATTGATACCTTTATGGTAATAATTTTGTCTTCTTTCAGACTTATTGCATATTGCTATCACATTCTCTTAAGGGAATGAGAATGGAGCAAATTCAATGGACGAGTTTCCTCTTCTTGTGCTCATAATCATACAAGAATTTGATCATGGCAAGACATAGAAATTTTACCACTTCAGGTGGTTATAATTTCTTACAAACTCCATTTGAGTTGTAATCAAAATTTATTGTCTTTGCTTGTATTTAAAATTAAAGTATAGAATAGAAGAGAAAAATACGGTAAAATACTTACCTTAAATCCAGAATTTAATCATGAAGGAAGTTCATGGAATAATTGACAATCATTATGCTCAATCCCAAAGCTTCTACTGAATTAGTTAGAGTCCCGTACTGATAACGTGTTATAAAACAATAAAAGAAGAAGAATAGTATTGCAGAGAAAAGTAGGGAGAGAGAATTCTTATTGATTTTGGGATGAATTACAATGGAATAGAATCCTCTATTTATAGGGAAAAAGTTACTTAGTCACCAAGTAACAAACCCTAAGATCTCTCTAAAATATAGACATTCACCTTAAATAGAATTCTATTTATAACAGTATTGTATTAATTCTCTTATTTATGGTAGTTACAAGTTGGAAGTTGTATTAAATCAACGAAAGAATCCTTTGTACAAGTACGTCGGGTTAATAGTACTCATCAGTCCGACTAATCCAGATTAATCGCGAAAAAAATCAAAAATAGCCTGATTTACAACTGATATTTGAAAAATAGTCACAGTTTTAAAAGTAATTGAAATTCAGTCATTTTTTCATGTAAAAATAAAATCTCAACAAAAACACCGTTAAAAATTTGGAAAAAGTTCTAGCATAATATGCTGGAATTTGAATTTTTGTACATAATGTGTTGGAATCTCATAATGTGCTGAAGTTCTAACATAATATGCTGGAAGTTTACGCATCCAGCATATTATGTTGGAACTTTCTGTGTTTCAGCTAGGTATTGTTGTCCAAATTTTATCTCCGCATAAAATAGTGATTATTTTTCAATGACTTTGCAAGCACTGGTTATTTTTCGATTACCAGTCCGAAAACTGGCCAGCCCATAATATTTTCACAGATTAATGATTCGTGATGCTGCATAGAACCTATTAAAGGAGTTCCTTATCAGAAATTTTTTCAATCTCAAGACTCAGAACCCGAAATTTTTGATTAAGGGTAGATCAAATACACATCTCATCACTAATGTGGTCCATGGTTCTAGTGGGAAAATATAGTAAGAAGTAATAAAAAGTTTAGTAGAATGAAAAAGAAAGAATTACACAAATTAGCAATTTTGTAATTTTCTTTATTTCACGAATAATGCATACAACAATAGCTTAGGCTATGAATTTTGACATTGTTACATCACTTACATTAACACAACAAAAAATAAACAACGTTATTTCTGGAAAAGTTTATAAGGACCAAATGGCATATATTAGGCAGATTGCTTTCATATCTCTCTTTGAAGAAGGTAGCATTCAAATATATTTAGTTGTTTTGTAATGGTAATACGACATTTTTGCGGTATTCTGCCAAACCCCACAATGGAAATATATTTCTGTATGAAGCATAGTGCAACATGCAATTCTTCAAAAAAACTCCAGTTAGTTCCTGCACATTTGTAAAGTGAAACACAAATCAGATAAAAGCAATTTTTGATAAAACTGGTGTCTGGTTTTAGTAATCTCTGTTCTTTTAGTTATTGTTTTGCCAGTCTGAAACATCTTGTTTCTTTATATAAATTAATCAATATCAATCAAATACGACCAGACTTTAAATTAGTTTGAGTCGACTATATGAATCATCTATGTCCGTTTTGTTCCATTTGAGTCTATCTTATTCCAATACTTAATAGCTTGATCTTTTAACAGCCGAAGAATTTTCTCCTTTATTTATATATGTAGAAGTGTGTGACCATCTCATCTAAAAGCTTAAGCTGTTAGAGAGTACACACTTTTATTTACTTAATTATGTCCACAACAGTTTAGCTTGTAATTTTCAGAGTAACTACCTGCTGTGGGAAGTCACCATCTTCCGACTGAGAATTAATCAACAGCCTTGCCGCACGGTGGAGGGGCCTCGGATCTCTATCAACCTGTCCAAATGGAGAAGTTGGTAAATAACTCTTTTGAAGAAGAAATTTTTTACTGTGATTGTGAAATAAATTACAAGGAATTCACCTGGCCAGAGTGAATCAATCCCATTAATGCCCATGCAGTTTGTACAAGATTTGAGTTATCTGTTTCAAGTTCTCTGTATACCTGTTTTTATCAAATACAAAGCTGAGTCACAGTTGTCTTTTCCACAGTCATCTTTACATTTCCTCCTCTTGGGGTAAAGTTCATGTTAATAGAAACCTTGGCTTAAATTATTCAGTATTGGAGTGAAACAGCTCCAAATGGAGCAGGATGCATATATAGATTTCATAACAATGTATAGTTTGAGACGTAGCTGTTGTTATTATTGTTTTACATAGCCTTTTTTGCTTTTACATTACCTTATCAGGGCAAGAACGGTAGCTTTCTCCCCAACCACCATCAGACCTTTGTGTTCTTAGCAGAAATTCAACGCCTTTACGGACAGCTGCACAGTTGCTGTAACTTTTGCCTGCTGCAGCAAGCCCTCCAAGAGCAAACCAAGAAGCGTATATGAAGCACACACCCCAGCAACCATACCTGTGACATGATTAATCATGTCATATGTATCGATAGAGCAGAAATGAACTATATATTGCAAGTTCAAGGGCTCGCAAGAGTCATATCATATACCATGAACCATCAGGCCTCTGTACATCTTCTAAATATTTAACAGCGTTGTCAATGAAATTGTCAACCTCCTTGGTTCTGTGTCTAGGGTATAGCTTCTTAAACAGAGCAAGTGCTTGGATAGACGAGCCAGTGCACTCAACATACCTGGATTGACATTTAATCAGTGTGAAGCTGTAAAATGGAGACTAACAAAGGGAAAAAAAGCTAAAGGGAAAGAGAGAAACTAGAGAAATAAATCTTACTCATGCTCAATAACAATGTCTGCAAAAAATTCAGTAGGATTGAGCAACTGTCAGATTATAAAACAGAACAAGAAAGTTAATTATTCAGGTTCTGGAAGACTATAGAAGAAGTTGAAGGTCTTTAACATCCTTGAAATGAAGCAAATAGACAAAATTCCTAGATCGTGAAAAGTTACCTCCAAATACTCTGAGGCCCCTGCAGGCTCCCATGCTGGTAAACCCCCATTTTTGCTCTGCAATTTTATTTAAATGGATCTTATTATTACTAGAAATGATTCAAATGACGAGCGTCTAAATTCGGAAAAGATGAATTTATGACACAGGTAGCCATGTATTAGATTCTCTATTCGGTGTAAGATATAGGTTTCTCTTGGAATTTTTTACAAGCAGAAAACAACTTCAAAACAACTAATAATTTTAGGGCACATTTTTCAGTGTTTACCTGTAAGGAAAGAATAACATTCACTGCGTCATACAGTCGTGCAGGTTCCATTGCCTCACCAACTAATTCAGAGGGCATTGTAGAGAAGAGAAGGCAGCACTAGAGGGAAAAAGAAAAGAAAAAAGATATCAGGCAAATTTACTAGCATTATCATCTTAACATTTTTCAGCAATTACAAGAAGTTAAAATCTTATTTCATTGAATAGTTAGATACCGTTAATCCTTCGGCAGTGCAATCAGAGACTTGCCATCCATGATCTTGATCTGAAAAAGTCCATGATCCTTTTGAGATATGCCTATACATCCCTCTAAAATCACCAGAAGGGTTGTCCTTCACCTAGAAATAAGTCACATACACTAATAAGGTCCATATTTTGCAAGAGCTGTTATGCTCATGATTTAGACATCCAAACCTGAGATTTCTTTATAAAGTCATGTCCTTTTCTAAGGGTATCTGATATCTCATCGTTCATCTCACTGGCCAATACTGCTTGAATAGCATAGGCAGTATCCCATAGTTGACTACCAAAACTCTGCAATCCGATGACAAATACTCGCCAATTTCAGTAACAATTGTTTGCATCAATTCAAAATAGGAAAAGGGGGCTAGAGTTTTTATTTCATGAACACGCGTTAAGAGTAAAAGAGATCCTATCCTTAACTCATTGTGGTTTGTGAAATAGTACAATTCAGATCAACCAACCTGCATTTTCATTCCATCTTCAGCTACCCATAAATAATCTGGGATCCTAGCAAGATGTTTTTTGAAATAATCGCCGTTGGGATCCTCAACCCAACAAGCAAGCATGCATAATACCTACACCATCCAAGGGTTACATCAGTGTCCTACAATTGAAGTCATTAAGATAATGCAGGTAATAATGCTATCTTTTCAAAATGAATTAGTTTCGGTACATATGTAGAGACTGTCCCACATCAAATCTTGAACCAATGGATGAGGGTAATAGAGATCCTCCTGCAGCAACAACTTTGTATTTGAGCATTTTAAAGGGATGTTGATGTACATATTAACTTCAAAACTGATGCAGTGTTATACCTTTGCACATGAATGGCGTACTTTTCTCCAATTAATTTCATTGTATGGTTGATCATATAACTCTTCCCTCAGTTGCAAAATGAGAGGTGTGATTGGACCAACAAATCTCTTCCCATAGAGATAAGACATTGGCATGTAGACCATTCGACAGTAACACCACATTTTCGCTGCATTTAAATTGAGAGTCAAAATACAAGGTAGATCGAAATGCTGCATAGCAAATCCTGAAAATTAATATCTACAGCATGTACTAAATATTTAGGATGTCCAAACAAAAAAAAATTGACCAACCTGGATGTATGGGAAGAAAAGATGGAAGAATCCAAAACTCGGGGGGCATTGGATTGGTCCCTAACCACTCAAAAACTCCAAGAATCTGAATGAAATAAGGGAATATTTCTCGGTAAAAAGAAGGCATATATACATGACACGTGAATGTTTACTTTACAACGGAGAATGACACAATTTACTGAGTTTAACTTCTATACTAATTGTGTAAAAGACCTTTACACTATCAGATCACATAAACATAAATGATAACTACAGTTAACAGTGTGAGATAAGTAACATAGAAATGAAGGCAGGTTACTTGCTATAACAAGTTAAAATACACTAATAACGTAAAACTTTGCAGACCGTCATGTATATAAGTTAAAGCCTAATATAATAAATATAACGACATGTAACATTCTACGATAAGTAGGAATTTGTAACTTAGAAAATAAGGCAGATTACAACAGGTTAAAATACACTAATAGTGTTAAAAAAGCATGTACAAGGTAAGTGTACATAAGCTAAATCCTAATTTATAATACTCTAAAAGAGTTCTTAGGATAATCATACCGAGAGCCATGTTTTGCCCCAGGAAGGAATCGCGGTGACGCTACCATGATCAAGAATCCATTTCCTTGCTCTAGCACAAGCATTGTTTTCGCCACCATCCGGTCCTTCCCCGAGGATCCTCATACAAATATAATTCAATGTTGTACAGAACATTGTACTGTGACCTTCTATGTGCAAACCCCATCCACCATCTTCATTCTGAAGTCAGTAATTCAAAAATGAGTTTAACTTCTATGTGCTGACGGTGTACACTATCTAAAGGGTAAAAAAGTTTATATTATCAGTGTATAAAAGTTAAATATTCACTTAAACTATTTGGGAATATGCAAAGCAAACTTGGGTAGTATGATATACTCATTGAAACATTAAGTCAAGCACCTGGTGACAGTATATATACCGAAGAATTTCCGTACGATGCTCGGCTGGGAAAACAGTATTAAGATGGCCAGTGATGTACATACACATAACCTGAATTTTGGGTCCCAAGAAAATGAACAAAGAATTAGCTTTAACATATCCATGCTTCAATTTTTGAAAGAAAAGAGAAGTAAAATTACAAATGAAAAAACTTACAAGAGGTGGAAGAAAGAACAAAGGACCGGCATTTTCAGCAGGCCAATGACCATCACTAGCCTGTAATGCTGAAAAGAAATGAACAGCTCTACGCAATGAAGTTGTGGCAACTTCATCTGTAATTTCTTCTCCTTCTTCTACTTTTACTGCTGGAATTTTTTGTTTGAAATTCTTCCCTCCAAGAAACTGCACACATATTGTGAAATTGAGGAAGTAACTCCTTAATTCTAATATTTCATAAAATATTATCAATATTAGCCAAATGCTATCAATATTACAATTAATCATTTGTAGCCAAGAAAGCCAAATTTTTGATTTATTTTTTAGTGGATGTTGCTGAAATGAATAGGATACATCTTAAAGAATTTGAATCTTAATATTGGGATAATTTAGTTGAGTTTTGTGGTGGTTTGAATTTAATGTTGGACGTAGAAGATGAACATAAAGAAAATTAAAAAAATAATAAAAAAAGATGAATCACATTGTGTATTATATGTGTATTACATATGTATCACATGTATATCCATGTATACCTATATGTGAGATAAATGCATGCAACATCTGTCGTAGAAGAACTGTTTAAACTCGATTATAACTATGAATTTTGATACCAAAACACCTCCAATCTTGCTCAGAAAATGTATATCGCCTCATGTATATATTTTAACGAATTTCAATCATACCCATTGTAGACAATAAATTGCGTCAAGAAAATAAAATCAAGACCGAAAAATATTGCAACAATCGTAGTATTTGATTTCGAATATTGAGTGTTACAATTTCTATGAATCCTCTAATTCTACTTTTCAACAATAAATAAAAGAACCTTCGAGCTTGATCTTGAATTTTATTTTATTTTAATCCAAGGGCTTGAGGCCTGATCTTGATCTTGACATATTTTTTAATCCAAAGGCTTGCAGCTTGTTCTTGAATCTTTGTCTTGGTCTTTTAATCCTTAGAACACTTGAATGCTTGTAGCTTTTAAAGAAATCTACAGCGTTTGATCACGAGCTCTCTCTTGCTTCATGTTATAACTTCTGGTCCCTTTTCTAGGTTATGAAGACCCCTATTTATAGTTGTGGAAGAGAGGAGTTATGATAAGAACAAACTCTTTCCGACCAATCAAATTGAAGTGTAACATGGCCGCATTTGATTGGCCAGAACATGTCACTTGCACACGTGGCGCGATTTCATTGGCCTTTTAGTGTGACTTGGCATGCCTTGTCATTTTGACACGTGGCATGATCCTATTGGCTCTTCCGCTGACTTGGCGTGCCACGTCATCTGACACGTGGCACCAAACTGGGCCTCCAGGAGGATGACAATTTGGGCTTAATAAAGTGGGCTCATCACTTTAGCCCAATTAAATGGGCTAGCCCAATGTATTAAGACTTATTTATTTAATCCATTTATATTGGACTTGTACAATTAATTCAATTATATTAGCCCATATGTTTATTTGGACCAATATATCTTGAATTTAAAATATAGTCCAAATTATCTCATAGATTTAATTTTAATAAAATTTATATGCCTACAAATGCCCCTACTTCCAATCTTATCGGGATATGAAATCACTTACCCGTGACGAATTTTGAAATATAACGTACATAAAACACACATATCCTTTATGTGCGTATATAATACACTGGGAATATACATTTGTCCAACAGTAAAGATTAGGCTAGGATAAGTTGAATTCACATGGTTTCATTCATGTGTCCACGTCATTCAATTTGCAATTCATTTACATTGCTTTAGACTCAAACATAGCTATATTAGGAACTTTTTCCATGATTTACTATGGAACCTCAGTTTTGAAACTTATTCTGCCAGTGACGACGTAATCCATGTATATTCCATTCCTATTTGAAGATGGACACCGAGTCCGTGTTGAACACAGTTGTCCCCGCCGCCTTAGTTGATAATCCCACATCGGGACTTTATTCTCAATTGCTGCCTTGAGAAATCTATATAAAGGATGCGTACTCTCCGACTTGTGAGCATCAGTTTGCAGTCTTTGCAAGCCACTTGAGTTTATTTTTTTGGACTCAGAAGCATTAACGCGAAGGTAATTTTTTTTTCTTTTTTTGTGCTTTCTTCTCCCTTTTTTTCTACTCTGTATTCTCTTTTTTCTTTAGAAGTAACTTTGTCGAGCTACGAAGTACTTTAAAAACTCGAGATGAATACCTTTAAAATTTGCGAGGGAGACCCATAAAAGTTCGCGCAAAGATCCTTAAAAGCTTGTGGTCGTGATCTTTAAAAGTTCATAGTGAACACCTTTAAAAATTCGCGGTGAAGACCTTTAAAAGCACGTGATGAAGACCTTTGAAAGTTCGTGGCGAAAATCCTTAAAAGTTCGCGACAAATACCTTTAAATTTTGCGGCAAAGACCCATAAAAGTTCGTGCAAAGATCCTTAAAAGCTCGTGGTCAAGATCTTTAAAAGTTCACAGTGAAGACCTTTAAAAGCTCGCGGTGAAGACTCTTAAAAGCACGCGAGGAAGACGTTTAAAATTTGTGGAAAAGATCCTTAAGAACTCGTGGTAGAAATTCTTAAAAGTCGGCAGTGGGGACCCTTTAAAATTTGCCATGAGCACCTTTAAAAGTTCGAAACATACGCCTTTTAAAAGTTCGGAACGAAAACCTAATAATCCGAATGCCTTTAAAAGTTCGAGACGAACACCTTTGAAAGTTCGCCATGAAAATCTTTAAAAATTCGAATGCCTTTAAAAGTTCGAGACGAACACCTTTAAAAGTTCGCAACGAAAACCTTTAGAAAAAGTCCGACACAGATATCCCTTTTATTTTTACGTCTGAGGCAATTTTTTTTTTTACTTATCCATGCTCTCTTTCAAGATTGTGATTGTTACTCTTCCCCTTTTTTTTAGGGTAGTGAGCGGATATGAAGACCAACAAACTTGAAGGTTATGCGAACATGAAGACATAACGAATCCCCAGACTTTGATGCAAATATTGTCATCATTTCAGTGAAGATACCATTTTACCATAGCAACTTGCCCCCATAAAATCAAGTGGGATCCAAAGTTCAACAAGAGGATGGCGTTTCAGCTTGATTTTACATTCCTTTCATACTTCACTCGAACAGCTATTGGGGCACTATATATCTTTTGGAATCATGCGACTAAACTTAGAATGAAACTCTAAGCTGCCTACAAACCTCGGTGAAGAGGATCAAGTCATACCGTAGTTCAGAATCCTCCTCTTTCGAGGCTTTCAACCTAGCGAGCTCTTTTTTTTTTGTGGGTCATACACAGCTTAGACTCATGCGGGCTAGGAGTGTAGGAACATGCAGCTTAGGCTGATGCGTCAAGGAGCGTTGTAACTTCAAGGATAATACTTCTTCAAAAACTTGCCATTGATAGGGCCGATTCTCATGCCATCTGCATCAACCAACTTGTAAGCCCCACTTGAGTAAGCTTCTCGTACGACATATGGCCCATCCCCTTTTAAAATGAACTTCCCTACAGGTTTATGGGAAGTAATTATGGGTCTTAATATGGCAAGGCCTTGATCTCCTACTTGAAAGGATCTCGAGCGAACTCTTTTATTGAAGGCGCGAGACAATCGAGCTTGATAACATTCAAGAGTTTGTTGAGCTTCCAACCTCTTCTCATCAAGAGCCTCCAACTCTGCTCATCAAAGTCGAGCATTTTCTTCACCAGTGATCCCTTCTTGAATAGCCAGTCGTAATGAAGGTATTTGACGCTCAAGTGGCAAGACGGCTTCGACTCCATAAACGAGTGAATAAGGAGTCGCTTGTGTTGGCGTGCGGTGAGTCGTACTATATGCCCATAGAGCTTCTTGCAAAGGTCATTCCAATCTTGCTTGGATATAGAGATGACTTTCTTTAACAAGTTGCATAGAGTTTTGTTGAATGCCTCAGCTAGACCATTGGCGACAGCATTGACATCGAAGAGTTACATTTCTTGAAGCCAAAGAGATCACCAATCTTTTTCATCAACCTATTATCGAATGGCTTTCCATTATCCGTTATTATGTAACGAGGAATGATAAAGCGATAAATAATGTTTACTCGGATGAAACTTGCAACATTTTTTTTCTTTTCCTTAAGAGCAACAACTTCAGCCCATTTTGAGAAGTAGTCAGTTGCAGCCAAGATGTATAGGTTCCCACCAGAAGACTTTGGCAGTGGTCCAACAACATCCAATCCCCAAGCGTCAAATGACCAGGATGCAATAGTCGGGTGCAACACTTCAGGAGGTTGATGAATAAAATTCGCATAGAATAGACAAGCCTTGCATCTTCGAGCGTAGTCCAAGTAATCTTTTACCATCATTGGCCAATAATATCTCATTCTTTTTATATGGAAATGGAGCTTTGGTCCAGACTGGTGTGACCCACATACCCCAGAATGTGCCTCTTGCAAAGCTTGGAGTGTTTCTTCTTCCCCTGAGCATCACAAGAGTACTCCTTCAAATGACCTTCTGTATAGAGTTTCTTTGTAGTAAAGGAAGCGAGGTGCACGACGACAGATTTCAGTCCTTCTCCGCAGATTTTCTGGAAGTATCCCATAGCATAAGTAGTCAATAATGGGTTGTCGCCATTCTTCTTTCTCAACTTCAGAAACAGTGACAAGATGCTTGAGTTCATTTTCTTCACCTTCAGCCTCATTTGGCAGCGGTACTACCCATTTTTGGCAGACCGTAACTTGCGCTTGATCAGGCAGGATTAACGATGAATCTAGGGCAGCTAAAGCATCAACCTTCTTATTTTCTTTCCTTGGAACATGCTGAATAGTCACATCACCGAGCCACCTCATTAAATTTTTAGCGTAATCATGATATGGGTGTAGTTCAAGCTTCTTGACCTCGTAACTACCTAAAAGCTGATTGACCACTAACTGAGAGTCACCAAAGACTTACAATTGCAACCGCTTCATTTCAATAGCCATTTCGAGCCCAAGTATTAGTGCTTGATACTCAGCAACGTTGTTAGAGCAAAGTTGCGTCAACATAAAAGAGTAGGGCAGAACTTCACCTTGAGAAGTGACAAATACTACACCGGCACCAGCTCCTCCACGATGTGCAGCACCATCAAAGTACATCCTCCATGGAGGTTGAACTTCAATGACCATGGCGTCATCATCAGGTAGTTCGTCAGTTAGCTCCCAATCATCACGTATAGGGTGATCTGCCAAGAAGC